AAATTCATCTAAATAATTTTCAAGACAAAGCCAAATATGTTAAACTATTAAAACAAGATAATCAAAATCGTTTAGGCAGTGATGATGAAATCGTGATGTAAACACATTCCAATGAAGAATTCATATTTATAGACATAGTCTAAAACAATAAATAAATATGTATGAATTATTTCGAATTATAAATGAATGTAAAATATCATTATATCATCATTCAAGAAACAAAAAATATACATTCTTTTTAGTTATTTGGCTTTTTTTCCGTCAAAGAAAATTAATATATTAATTAAATATAAAGAAAAATAAATAATATATGCTGCAAAAGTCATTGGGCAAATGTTGGCATCTATTTCTGTTTGATAGAAATTTTTTTCTTATTGAGAAGTTACTATATGCTCATGAAAGAAATGATGTAACAGAAAAAAAGAAGCAATCTCAAGATGACTCGATACTTTTTATAATTATCCAAAATTATTTTTTATGACATGATTAATCAAACTGTGAATTGCAGGTCAAATTTCTTTGTTTTTTTTTTAATTTAATATCAACAGAAGCTGTATTTGGGTCATAGAGTAAAAACTATTGATTATTAAGACTATGTAATGGGGAAAATATTTTACATCTCTTGGATCGTCTGATAACAACGCATGTTTCTTTTTTTTTTTGTAAATGACAACTAATTGTTGATTAGTGAACATTGAAACGCTTAGCTAATTGACAGTGAATGATACCATGACTTTTTAAAACAAATTTTCACTGAATGATTTGTGTTTTGTTATTAAAAAGTTTAACCAAACGATCATTCTTCAGTGAAAATTTCATTCATTTGTAGTTCGAATATTTGTTCAATATATGATAAATTATTATTCTTGAAATGTCTCACTGTATAAAATAACTAACTGTTGTTTTTATTTATGAATGTATAACAAAATTAAATAATATACAGTTCAAAATAAAAGCAAAATTCTTGTTATTTAGTCAAAAAAGTTCTCGTTCCAACAGGTGTTTACTGTAAAGATATATATATATACGAGTTAATATTTCTTTACTGTTATTTGGTATTAAATGAAAAAATACGGACTCATTTTAAGAGGGTGTTTTTCTTTGTTGTTACTTCATTACATTTATAATTGTAATAAAAATAAAATAGATACGATTCGAAAGAAAAAATTCTCGGCTGTCTGATGAAGAGTTTTCTTTTGTTGAGAAGAAATAGTGGGTGACATTTGATAAATTACTTTTACATCATATGTTATATGAAGAAGATGTTTATAAATATTGTAAAAAAAAATATAGTTGAACGGCTGGTATCTTTTTTTGTAGGAGTCTTTGCAATTCAGAAGAGACATAATAGACTTCTTATCCAAATTAAGCATATGGGAAATGATTATAAGTAATTATTTATATTTTTTTTCTTTTATATTATATAAAAACAAATTGCACTAAGAAGTAGTGTAGAAAACAAATACACAAGTATTATTGTATTTTTCAAACGAGACTCTTATCAATTAGTTGATTGCTTACTACACGAATTGAAGTTAAACAGGTCGATCGATCGTTATTATAGTAAATTATTTTATAATATTTAATTGATTTTTAATACAATACATCTAACAAAACTGAAAGCATAGGAAAACAAAAAAAAACAGTTCGATTGGATTGTCTATAACAATAAATGTGAACTATCAAAGAAAGTACATTTCAACGAATGACTGCGCAAAGTTCAAATAGTTTGATTAATATTTCATTGTCATGGGAAAAATAATTTCAAGTAAAACGAATTCTATTATGATCACCACATTTAGATGATGTCATTAATTGTTACTTTTGATCGTAATTTCAATAAAAACTCAAGGCTAATAAATCATTTTCCAATGATTGGTTTAAACGTTATCTCACTTATTTCATACATTATATTCAATCTTGTATGAACCATGTTCTGTTGAAATATCGAATAGGTTTCTTTTTTCGCAACGATTTTATAGAGCTCATTCAGTTCCAAAAGAAAATGTGTGTTGAAAATTTGAAAACAACTATTCTATGAAAAGTCTAGATACCATTACTTTCACATATATGAAAAAATAAACCTAAATTTCTAACTTTCATAAAATTGTTTTTGTCAAGTTTCAAACATACATTTTCTAATGTAACTCAATGAACTGTATCTAATCATCACGAAAAAAAAAGAAAGCATAAATTCTACTAAAATTATGACTTGTGAGCACCTTACATACTTCGTAAATAACTTACTCCACAGAGTAGCACGGATTATTCGATTCGATTTCGAAAATATTCAAAGTTCATCCGACAATTCTTTTAGTTCAAAAATCAATTATTTCCATATTTTACTCATCAGAAAATAATTTTGATTAAACTGAATCGATGGTGTTACCAGTGATAAGACGATTAGTTGTAAACATATGATACAACTAAGAATCTTCGCTGGCCGTTACCGTTAATTATCAGATAAAAGAAAGTCTGAATTTTGTTTTGCTGCATCAAAATAAACTATAGTAGGACAATGCAAAGTGACAAGTCAATAGTTAATCATTGAAAATACATGCAATATGAATTACAGTCGTTGAATTCTATTCTTGAAACTTATTCTAAAACCATTAAATGCAATGAAATAAGATGGAAAAAATACCATTATAAGAAAATACGTTTGATAATATTCTTTATCCTGATGCAACATTTTTACATAGCAAACATTACTGAAAATGTCAAAAAATGATTTGTGATCAGAAAATGTTTTGTACTTTTATCCGTTGCATTTTGATCATAGAATTTCCGGCATTCTATGTTCTTAAGAATGTAAATGTGGATATGGGTGCGCATGAGAAGTAGCTGTGTGGGTTGCTCAATTTTCATCAACTTATATGATTCATGGCATGCAAAATTGACCTGTATTCGGATACTTCTCTTCGGAAGGCTGATTCTCATAGAAGAAAGAAAGCACATGCACGCTAGCTTCCAATTACTTAGTTTTTGTCGACGGATTATACGATTTTCTGGGCTAATCAAAAGAAAAGTTCTATAGAAATGAAAAGTGAGTCTACTTCAAAAATCATTACAAGTGTAATAAGAGGATGTTGGTAGAATTGCTTTCACTTGTGTCTCGTGCATGGGCTTGACATTGAATTGCAAGAACATTTACCATAATGGTTTCCGACAAGCTCGAACTGCTCGAATAAATATTCACATTGAATACGCTCTCGTTTAGGTTGATTCTTCGTATCCATGTTGGTACAATACAAAGAAATCGTCCAGACTAGCATGGTATCAGCCAACTACTTTCTATTCTCTCATTGTACTTGAGAGTGGGAGTGTGGGTATCGGTACAGCGAGCACCAAAATTCACCCACGCCCACACCCTGGATATTTTTCGAATAACTTTTGATTGGAATAAAACAGAGACTTGCAGTTTTCACCATTGGAAAAGGCGATTCAACTGCTTAGTTCGATGTGATAATCAAGAATATTGTTTCGTAGGCAAACTATCACTAAGTGATACTCGGAAAAATAAGAAAAGTCCTTTGAAGATTACACAAATTCTCAGTTATCAGGAGTATGAGATATTCGTCAGCTCAAGGTCTACAAAACTACGTAAGCCTAACTATCCTATATTGTTTCATTCGATCATCACCGTCGTTCGTTGTTTTTCTCTTTTATTGCATAGTTTCTCGGTTTTCATCATTCTTCTGTATACCAGACAAACAGAGACTGTTGAAGAGTCGGATAAGAGTGACGATGGCAAACAAGTATCAGCTTTCAAATTCGTTCTTTTTTTTATACAGAGAAAAAAAAGTTACCGTCATTCGATTCCTCTCTCTTACATATCCCCTTTTTTCGTTTTGTATTTATTTCTTTGTGTAACAGGCAACCTCAAATATTGGTGGGTCGGAGGAGAGAGACGATAACAGGCAGCCGTCAGTCTTGGACTTGGTTTTTTCATGCAGACAAAGATAAATAACCGTCCTTTGGCTTTCTCCCTCTTACTCATAACATTTTTTCGTTTTGTATTCATTCCTCTGTGTGGGAGATAGAACAGTATCGCAGAATCGGAGAAGAGGGATGATGACAAATAACCGTCAGTTTTGAAATTCGTTTTTTTTCTTCCTAAGCAAGATAAATAAGCGTCATTCGGTTTTTTCCCTTTTACATATTATCTTTTCTTTATTTTGTATTTATTCTCTATGTAAGAAACAAAGTCCAATAAAGAAACGGAGAAGAGGGACGAGGGCAAACAACCATTAGTTTTCGACTTTTTTCTTTACTCTTCAGACAAATATTAATCACAGAGGTTTGCAATTGTTTTTGTTGTTCTCCTCTTTAGTTTATAGCTATATTCATAGGATGATTTAACATTCATATTTCTAGATAAATAATTACAATCGATTATCTACAAAAGACTTGTTTCACTATCAAAATCAATTCGATCTAAAAGATGACAACTAAACCTTTAGTGTGAGTTTTCTTTTTTTTTAATTTCTGTTCAAATTCTCATTTACCATAGGCATTGAATAGTAAAAATTTTGTCTTGTTGTTTCTATTTAAGATTGACACAAGACGACAGTGATGATGAATTGCATAGAAGTCGAAGAAAGGATCAAGCCACAGCTGACTCGATCATACCCAATAATTTATCGTTTGTTTATCTTGATGCATCAATTGGTGAATATGTAAGCTTTCGGGATAAGTTCTGTCAAAAAACTGGTTGCCACTCAAACTTATGGGCAAACTACACTAGCGAAGATGAATTTAAAGCGTTTATCAAGAGTGCTTCTGTGGAAAAGAAGATTTTGCTTATTTCAACAGGCAGACAGTGCACAAATATTATCAACGACATTCATAGTCTTCCTCAACTTCATTCGGTGTATATATATTGTCAAATTGTGGCAAACTATGAATCATTACGAAACAAATATTCTAAATTGCGTGGAGTTTTCAACAAATCTGATCTGCTACTTACTCGCATATGTAACGATTTGGAAGCAGAAACGATGCCAAAAGCTCCAGTGCGAAGGAGAGGTGAAGAAGAACGTCGTACAATAACACCGGATATTATCTCACCAGCAGATCAAGAAGCTTTAATTGAACGAGGTTAGTAGTTAGAGATAAGGTTCGTTCATGATTTTCTAATAAAATGTTTCTTGGATATTTCTAGCCAGAAAAGCAGCGACTCCACCTAAACAGAATCAAATACCGACCGAAAAGGATGTCGAAGTTTTCTCTCAACCAGGCATTCATTGGTGTCCATGGAATGCAAATAGTTGTACGAAAACACTTCCAGTCAAAGGTCAAGGAACAGTAGCAGTGATGGAACTCGAACCAATGCCATTTGAACTTTGTCTTTCTTCTAAACCAAATCCAGACGATCCAGAAGCTTTTTCCATTATTCTGGCTGTTGACACAACTGGAGCTTTTTTGGGTACGAACAAAAAGACCTATGATCAAAGTCATATACCACAGCACTTAATTCAACCAAACAATGGTAAATGGCACACATATTGGCTTAGCTTTTTTAAAGACACTCGCAAAGTTCGATATGGCATAGGCGAGATTCGTTCAATGTTCAGTGTTTTTGAAATTACAATTGAAGAAGATATGGCATCAGAACTGCGAGAAATTCGTTATCTTCATGTTAAAGTAAACAAAGACGATCAAATGCTTCAGAATCTTGGTGGCACACGTGATAAATTCCGATTTTTCATTGGTAATGATCCTGTTGTTGATGAACCTGCTTTGGTTGTAGCACCCGAACAGTTGAGTATCGAAGATTTATCACGAAAAAAATCCATTGTACCATCGAAATTGGAAAAACCTTGTCGAGAATTGTACGAGAATGTTCATCATTTGATTTTGAATGATTCGAAATTTCCTGATTTTACTCGTGCTGTTGATCGTAGTGTTAAGGATCCGAACGGTTGGTGTCACAAGAAATTGGTCGAAAAAGCAAATCGATTCGGTCGACCGAATTTCTATGCTACTTACTTACGTGTCACAGTTGGCAATCGTGATGGTAGTGCACCCGGTCATAAATATGTTGTCGAAATCTGGCCACCAGGTCATTACAGTCCAATTCATAATCATAGCAATGCTTATGGAATTATCAAAGTACTCTGTGGTCGTCTTCTTGTCAAACTTTATCCTGAATTGTCACTCAATGTTCGACAATATTTGCCTATCGAGACTCTTCTTGAAGAAGGTCAAATAACATGGATGTTGCCCAGACTTAATCAGACTCATCAAGTGAGAAATCCTGATTTATATGGTTCATGTTCCATTTCTATTCAATGTTATCAATATGGAGAAGAAGACGACGAACATTACGAATATTTCGACTATCTAAACAATGATGGGCAATCTATTGGACAGTTCAATCCAGTGTCGGACATTGACTTTTCCGAATTTCGACGAATCATGCAAGAGGAGTGGAGCAGATCAGCGATTCACTAAACCTGACCGATGGGACATGTCTCCTCAGATATATTTGTTTTAACTCTTACTTTCACTGATAACTAAGGGAAGAAAGTTATTGCTACGTTACCCAGTATAATAACTGTCCAGTAACAATAACTTCCATTCTATAGTAATAACTACGTTTTTGACATAAATAAAGATGATCAAAACAAAATATCGAAATTCGAGTTTCTAGATTAATAAATTTCTGTTCGCTCTTCTATTTGAAAGAACAATTAGTCTCCATTACGGCTTCGAGAAAAGTGGCAGGCTTTCGTTGAAGATCTATCGATACCATCACGAATATTTTCGAATTGTTGAGAGAGTGTAGATGTGGGACATAAGTGCTGATGTAGATGTGAACATAGTCGCGGTCGTCGGACTTTCCACCATCATCGGCCCAAAGACACTGCATGCCTCACCCGCACTCAACAGTCATCAGTATCGCTGCATTTTGTGTATGTTCGTGAAATATGATTAAAACCGTGCAGCGTAAGTGAGCAATATGATGATTCACGACAGTGAACGAATAAGTCGTGCACAAAAGCTTTCTGTCGCGAAAGTATTTTACTCTGACATCATAAAGGAAGAAAGAAAATCGACTGTTTGCTTGACATAGTGTATTGACCAATGTTTGTGCTACGTAGACTATAATGCGCCTTGCTGTCGTCAAGGTATTGCCGGCTGTTTCAGATATTGCCAATAAAAATGTAGCTGTCACGACGATGGCTTTCCGTTTGATCGTCGTCGTTGAAATGTACAAGCAAACAATAAAATCAACTTAATAGTAGGTATGAATGCGGGTGACAAGAATAGCCGCGTCTACACTCACTTCTATCAATGATTTTAATTGTACAGTTTAGGAATTTATTTAAAATCTTCCCACATGGTTTTTCTAGGACTTATTCAAACGAAGAATAAACAAATCTAGTAAATACACATGTTGAAATCCTAACAACAACGAGTTCATAACAATATTTTCAAACGTATATATATATTTGTTTATTCAAGATTTGTAAGACGGTTTGACGTGTTCCAGTTTCAAATTACATGTATAGTTCGATAGAAAACAATCTTATTCTACAGATCTGGAAAGTTTGAAATATAATTTCGATATATTTCTACAAGTTCGATATTGATTTATGAAAAATTTTATGAAATTTAAAACTGAAAAGAATTAGTTTCGATATACCACGTCTCGTTGAATCAAAATTAAACAAATAACTTATTTATTACAAGATGTGTTTTTTAGATTTCAGAGCATTTCGATTGTTTTCTTTCGTATTTTTCGAATGTCTGAAGTTGAACATATATAAAAAGCACTATTATCTAAGATGGGTCCTAAAATTATGAAATATACATTTGAATCCAACAAAGAGAATGAAGTGCTTCTGTCATTTGATAAAGAAAAAACAAATATTTACTTAGCAAGAACACAAAAACCCGTAAATTCTATTATCAAAATGCAACAGATAACAGTACAAAACCTTTTTTTTTATCGCAAATCATTTTGGGTAAAAAGCAATTCATATCGAAGTAATGATTATTAACGGAGATATTGATAAAATGCTGAGAGATTCATTGACTTTGGAAAAGTTATTCGATTTCTTACAGGTTCTGCTTATTCACAAATCACTCTGCTATAAAATTACAAAATTCTATGTATTACATAGATTCCGTATTTTTAAAATATTGTTTTGCAGAACTTGTTCGATAAAATCATTAAAAGAATGTTTTAATTTGAAATTTTTGTGAAATTGACAACAGTCAAACAAATTTTATCAAACTATTCATTAGTTTTTCAATTCACTCAATACATTCACATATGTTTTATTTTTTCGAAGATTGAAACAAGACAAAATTATATACAAGTACAGAAGTTTCATTCTGTTTTTGTAACACATAAGAAAACATGTACAGCAAAAAAAACGATAATCATGCATTATGATCAATTAATTAGTCATACTAATAAATTTCTCTTCATTTACGTTTTCTATTCAATAAACGATATGGTGGTGTTAATTGATGACGTCGTTCAAATTCTCTAGCACGTTCTTTCCATCGTCTTATTGGTGTATTTTGTAAACGTTTTACTGAACGTGTTACTTCACCGGTACCATTTGACGATGAAATGATTTTATTTGAATTTTTTAATGCTTGTTCAATAAGATTTTGTTCAGGTGTATTCATTATTGTTAATGATGATAATGTTGATAACATTGTTGATGATGATTTAATTGTTAAAATATTTTTATTATCATTAAATTTTTGTTGTAATGATAATGCTGATGTACTTGTTGGTACAATTGAACGATTTTGTATATTTTCTGATGAACGTTGTTCGAAAGCTCGTACTTGTCTTAAAACACGACCAGCTAATTCACCTTTAAGTTGAAGAATACTTTCTCGACCACCATTGAGTACACCAATATTCTAAATAAGAAGATATAGAAAAAAAAAAAATTTAATTTGTTTTCTTTTTCAATACTATTATTATTATTATCCATGAGAAAAAAAATTTCAATATATATTTTATTTCGTATAGATCAAACAAAAAAAAAATAATCATAAGTCCAGATTAAATCGACAAAAAAAAAGAAGAAAATTTAACTTATTATATATGCATCATGTTTACCTCGTCGTTTTCTCCAAGATTTTTTGAATGAAATAATTCATTTGTTGTTTGTGATAATGAACATGATAATGATCGTTCTTTACATATTGATGTTAATGAACTTGTTGAAATTAAATTTGATATTGATGATGATAAACGAACAGGCATTTTTGGTGTTGTTGATTTTAATTCATCTTGTTTAATTTTTGGTGGTGTTGTACGATTCATTGATAAACTAAAATTAACATGTTCTTCATCCTACAAGAAAGAAAGAAAAAACAATAAAAATATTAAATGAAAAATTATTATTTTTTTTTTTGTTTTACATCTGAATCTGTTAATCGAATACAACGATTTTCATTTCGTTTTAAAATTTCATCAAGTTCATTTGTTTGACATATATCTTGCATTTCAATTGATTGTTGTTCACAATTAGCAATAATTGTTTGTGATAATGTTTCATTTTCATTATTTTGTATATCCATAGCATTTGATTGATCACGTTGTTCATTATCATTTTGAATTTTTTGACGTTCAAGATCTGCTTCATCAATAAATGCAACATTAAGTGAACCATTATCGTGATTTGTTTGTTCAGTTGAAAATGCACGTAATGATTGTATATCTTCATTACCAACAACAACAGCTAAATTAAGTTCATTTGATATATCATCTTCATCATCAAATGATTCTTGTGTTAAATTGAGATTACTTGGCATTGATTGTATATTTTGTCTTTGATCATCTTGTTCATCATCATCACTTGTATTTTGTTGTTGATTTGATGGTAATGAATGTGAATAATTATTAAGCATACAAACAACATGACGTGTTTGTTGTTGACCACCACTTGATGATATTGAACGACGTGGACGATAAGCTGTTGTTGATAATGATGTACTAACAACATCATCGGAATGACGACGTGGTACACCAAAACTTGAATGCATTATAGAAGAAGATCCTCCCACTTGTTGAGATGATGATGGATTTGATCCATTTGTAGGTTTGATTGGAGATGGAGGAGATTGAGAAAGAGATGATGAACCAACTGCTGATGAAAGTAACATTGGTGCATGTATGGCTACAAGAGGTTTTCGTTCGGCTTTCTAAATGATAAGAAAAATATATTGTTAAAACTGTGCAGATCAATGGAGATATCCGTTGGAACTGCTATTCATCATTCGAGATTTCATAGATTTACAAGACGTCTCGGTAAGATTTCACTCGCAATTTAGATCTTATCGAGTCTAAAATAGTTCATGTCCATGAGTCTTTTTTCTCAAATTTGAGCTATTCTCCTGATTTTTTTTTTATCTATCGTAGAACACTGAACGCGAAATCGAAAAATAACATTTTCACCTGAATTTCTGTCCATAGAGAGATTAGATAATGTGACGTTTGTAGTATAGATAGGAAGAACAATGAACTAGTCATCAATATTTTAAAGAAAAACAAAACAGTATTAGACAACAGCAACAATGCTTGATTTAATATCTCATCGTTTTTTTTTGTGTTAAGAACATGTAGCAGCAAACCATGTCATTGTATGCTGAGTTAATAATTGTTGGAAAGAAGAAAAAAATTGTCTTGTACAACTGAATACTTATAGGTTGCAAAAAAAAATGAAAACCTTCCAATACTAAGCATGCCCATAAAGTGAACACTTTTGACGGATCCCGATGGTACTTGCATTAGAGAGCTTTTATTGAAAGACTCAAAAGTTTCAGCCAAAAAGAGGATTCTTGTCAGCGAAATATTAAATTTTCAAGTAATTTTGGTTTTCGTAGCATGTCTGTAACCAGCAATTATTTTTTGAAAATTCGATATCATAAGAAAACACTACTCTTTGCTTGATTTTTTGATAGGAATTTAAAGTTGAGTAGAAAACTCAGTAAAATAATGATAAGTCGGCTGCAAAAACTCATGCTGAAGAATTCTTTTAAACTTTTCTAGTCTAAGCGAGACAAATATGAGTTCCAACAACTAGTATCAGTTCAAATGATTTCTTCGCATGCAGATTAAAAATCATTTCAGGCCACATAAACATTATCTAGTGGCTTGAATGCTACAAATAGGACGAAACTTATTTCATGCACATTACAAAGGAATCTCATAAAATGGTATATTGATTTTTATTTGAATCTTATCTAATAAAATAGGTCTTATTGAAATGTGAGAAAACCTAAAAGAATTTGTGCCATTGAATTGTATTTCTTATAGTTCATTATGGAAAAAAAAATGGAATTTCGTTCTTCTTTTTATTCAAAAGCTCAAACTATTTTTATTTCTGAGCAACAAATTATTCATTCGAAAAAAATATAAAATACAAACCCGACTCGATTTGGGCCATTTCCATGAATCTAATAGATTGAGTCTAAAT